ATCGGGCCAAATTGTCCCTGTTATAAATAGATGAAACAATCAAAGAGCTTTCACATTCAATACAAAGTTTATATCAAATATCTGCAATAAAAATAGCATAATAGATCAACATTGATAACATTTATGAAATCCTAATCACAAATGCTACAGAGACAAGTTTCAGAAACAAAATACAGGTAACCAGGAAATAAAAACAAAGGAATGTCTGTCAGCATTTCACAATGGAAGATGTCAGGGATCTGACACTTATATATCAAAATGTACAATCATTTCATATAACTTCTGTGTGTCATCTAATATGCTCTTGAATCTGAACAGGAATTAAAAGAGTTAGCCTACACATATGCTTGTTAAATCTGTTTCTTTGTGAAATCTGCGTATACTTGTGAAATGTATCATTTTATGTACTTGTGAAAGCTATTTCTTGAAAAGGCATTTATGAATTCCTTTGTGTGCTTGTGAAATCTATGCATTTTTGTGAAACCTTACTTCGTATCCACTTTAAAAAATCTACCTCTGTTAAATCTACTTCTATGTCTTGTAAAATATTTTCTTTTATTTGTGAAGTTTATCACTTTATGTATTTGTGAAGTTTATCACTTTATGTATTTGTATTTGTGAAGTTTATCACTTGATGTATTTGTGAACAGACACTAGTGCAGCTAAATTCCTGTTGGTCTGCATAGATTCCCAGAAACTCCTCCCCCACCCCAACTCTAAAATACTGGTTATATTTTGAATAAAGTAAAGTTAAAAGAACTGTGTTCATTATAACAGGTTTTATCCAATTTGACCCATCTCTCTCCACAGAATGGCTAACCACATGCTGATAAAGTCACACAAAACACAACCTCTGTAGCTCCAGCGCTGATCTCCATGTTTGCACAAGACAGCTTTTATAGTTGCTTGTTTTAGAATAACTTTTATAGTTATAAGTTTTAAGACTAGCCTTTACAGTAATAGGTTTTTAGAATAGCTTTTATAGTAATAAGTTTTTAGAATTGCTTTTATAGTAATAGGTTTTAAGAATTGCTTTTATAGTAATAGGTTTTTAGAACAGCTTTTACAGTAATAGATTTTTAGAACAGCTTTTATAGTAATAGGTTTTTAGAACAGCTTTTATAGTAATAGATTTTTAGAACAGCTTTTATAGTAATAGGTTTTTAGAACAGCTTTTACAGTAATAGGTTTTTAGAACAGCTTTTATAGTAATAGGTTTTTAGAATAACTTTTATAGTAATAGGTTTTTAGAATAACTTTTATAGTAATAGGTTTTTAGAATAACTTTTATAGTAATAGGTTTTTAGAATAACTTTTATAGTAATAGGTTTTTAGAATAACTTTTATAGTAATAGGTTTTTAGAATAACTTTTATAGTCCAATAGGTTTTTCAGACATAACTTTTATGTGAGTAATAGGTTTTTTAGAATTGCTTTTATAGTAATAGGATCTTTTTTAGAACAGCTTTTACAGTACATAGGTTTTTAGAACACTTTTATACTTGATAGATTTTCCCACAACAGCTTTTATAGTAATAGGTTTTTAGAACAGCTTTTACAGTAATAGATTTTTAGAACAGCTTTTACAGTAATAGGTTTTAAGAACAGCTTTTATAGTAATAGGTTTTTAGAATTGCTTTTATAGTAATAGGTTTTTAGTAATAAGATTTAAGTTTCCTAGAATGTCTAAGACCCAGCAGTCCTTTTGATAAAATCTAGATGGTCAGCATTGTCAGTGCGCGGTTAAAAGTCTCTGTATTTCATGAATACATTAGTTACAGCGTATTTTCAACAGCAATGATATGTGGTACATCAGACACATACAATGCTCCCAAATTCCAACATTAGAAACAATTCCAACATTTCAATGCCTGATACCGGTCTTCCATTCTAGATTTAAAAACATGTCTCAATCTTCTTCTATCAGAAACACAGAAAGCATTATGCGAGACACCACTAAGCACTTGACATATGACAAAATCAGTGTCCTAAATCAGCACTCGGAAGATACCCCTGTACCATTAAAATGCATCCAAAATATTTAGAAACATGATTCTTAAACTTGATACATGTTCCCCACATCAAACATATTTACAAGTATTCTTGTGTTCAGTGGGCTTCAACAACTCAACAAAATAAATGCTACATTGCTCCGACTAAAAGAGTAAAAGTCTGACCATGATATTATAAGTGTACGAAGATGACAAACAGGCAATTAAAAACTGTACAAACTGGCAATTAAAAGTTGTCGAACGTTAAGAGCCACAGCATCTTTCCCAGAAATTGGTGAATATCCTACCACTGTCATATGAAGAGTTTTAGTAACAGTAAACACTGGGAAAAGAACACATTAGTAACACGTGTTTCCAACTGCAATGATATGTGGTACCTCAGTAAACATGACACATACACATCATCCTCAAATGTCAAACATGAAAGAAAAGTAAATACATCATCAATATATTGCACTTTCTTGTTTAAACATCCTAATACTAACATATGACACTTCTTGCAAGCTCGAAACCAGCCTATGACACCACTAAGGACTTGACATATGACAAAATCAGTGTCCTAAACAGCAGGAAAGATACCCCTTCACACTTAACTCTTTGAGTCTCGGGGGTTTATCATCAGAGGTCCAAGGGATAGTCAAGAGAGACGTAAAATCAGTGCATCTTGTGTTCATTGGGCTTCTAGGTTTGAACATGAATGTATGATGCATTCCCTGGGACTAAAAGAGTTAAAAATGACAAGGGCATATGGTGCTTTTAGTATATTAACAGTGACTCATGACACTGTAACCACACTGATGAATGACACCTTTAACATCCAACACTGGTGCACACAGCACTTTTAATACCCTAACACTGGCATATGATAGATTTTAGTAGTTTAAACACTGGGAAAAGACACCTTTACTAGCCTAAGACTGACACTGACATTCAGTACGGTCAAAACTCTAAGACTAAATCCTGACATCCATACAATCCTAACACTAACAGATGACACCTTTGACACTATAAACCTGTACCGGCACATGACCCTTTTAACATAATGACACTCAGATATCCTAACACTGACTTTTGACATGCTTACCCTCCTAATACTTTGAAATTTGACAACATTAACATCCGACTATCTGTGAAAAGCACAACAATAGCATAGGAAACAATTAGCAGCCTAACAATGGGAAGACACACCCAAGACTGCCACATGGTAATGACTCGTGACACTATTACCACCCTAACACTGACACCTTCAACCCTGACGCCCTGAATAAAAAGCTGATTGTCTTTCTCTGACAGGTTTTTTGATGATACAATATCTTTGGGCAGTGCTCAATTTGCCCATACAGCAGTTATACTACTTCCGCGTGTGGGTTCTGGGGCCCCATTGTGAAGGGGAGAAAAGAACACATCCACTGCTCCTTAACAAGCACATGGTAAGTAAGAGTCTACTAATTAGGGATGTTTGCTTCGAAGTTGGAGTGCATCAGCCTGGGAGGCCAGGTACCAACAGACACGGGTTCTAGAACAAGACTGTAGAGCGGAGAAGCGGATGAGAAACCACAAATTTCTGCCAGAGTTTACAGCCGGTGAAGGCAAAAAGAAGAAAAAGAAGTTGTGGTACTGGTTGCAACTGCATAGTGTGAAGTCGTGGTGGTTGACTAAGACTCCAAATTTCTTCTTCTTCTCTTTTTCTAGTTTCTTAGGGTAGAGTTTCATCAAATTATAATGATGCATTTCTTTTTAATGAAATTCTGAAAAAGGTAATTCTCAAAGATTTTAACAAGGCAAAAGGATTAACACAGAACACAGAGATTGATGCAGTCGGGAGTGATGAGGGCTCTGACTGATGCTCGACACTCGGAGAAAAGGCAAGACCGATGTTTCATCACAATGCTACTGGCACCGTTAGTAATGAAACGCTGCGCAGGCTGTTGAAGATGTGGACGGAACGCTTATGGGTAAGCCACGAGTGCTGTGATGTCGGTTCTTGAATCAACTCGACTCAACTGACCACTGCTGCATAGCATTTTTGATATTCTACCACTGGCATACATGAGACAATTATCAGCTTTACCCTATCAGCAACAGGCAATGCATGTTCATTGGTTATTCTTTATAACTGCTCACAGAGAAATCTGGCAAACCTCTACCCCCTAAGGTAGAAGAGGAGCGACTAAGTAAGTAAGTAAAGTTAGTTGAATTGAGCCCATATGTGCTCCGTCCCCATCTTCAGCAGCCTGCGCAGAGTATAAATACTAATGGTGCCAGTAGCATTCTGATTAACCGTCCGTCTTGCCATTTCTCTGAGTATCGAGTGTAGCATTCTAATATACAACAGCTTTAACAACTGAAGACTAGTGTAATGTTAACACCCTAATACTGAATCCTGACACCTAAATCTGATATACAACACCTTTTAACTTTTGAAGACTGGGACTGGTACATTCAACATAATAACATTACAAACACCCTCACTTGGCGCCTCTTAACATGATAGTAAGGACAGAACACAAACTAACTGCAAGGATATCACTTCCACCTAAGGCATTTGATGGGAGAGGATTCACTATGCACTAGCCAAGTACCTAATGTTTAAAAAAAAAAAAGTTATCTGAAGATAACAAAAATACACAAGGCATTCTACAATCAGTGGAGAATGAAGAAAAGCACAACAGTGATAAAAAACATTAGCACTGTATTCTCTCAGTAAAAACATTAGATGGTCAATGAAATATAAATTGTGTATTCTCTGAATCATGATAATGGTGGTTGATGAAAATGACAATTGAGGAAGTGTTTTATCAATATGCTGATGAGAATCAACAACAAAAATACAAGTATTTTCTTACAGAAAAGAGTCAGGGGCGGAGAACAAGTTAAAAACAAAATAAAAGGACAAACGGAGAGATATAGAAGGTCAAACAATGCAAACATCCCATGAACTGGTCACAACGGCATCGACATGAGGGAATGTGGGAGGCTGTGTCTGCTACTATCTGGGCCTCAGGGATGGGGAAACTGGTAGAGAGAATTCTGCAAACAGGGGGAAGTGGTCTGAGGGCACAAATGGATGGGGGCACCCCACGATTTTGTTGGCTCGGAACCATTCCTCGTCTTGAAGGCCCATAACTCCGTGAAGGCGTAGGTGTTGATCTGAGTAGAAAATGTAGTCGATGATGCCTTTAAAGTCAAACCTGCAACACAAAACAGGGCCATAATATATATTTCATCAAACAGGTGTGGATGTCTTCTTATTTTTCTTTTTCTTATCTGTCACCGGCTGCAAACTCTGGTGAAAAGTTCTGGTTGTTCGTCTACTTCTGTACTTTAGTCTTATTCCAGAACTTGACTTTTGCATGCACACCTGTTAAACAGATCTGGCTTATTTGTATGCAGAATGTTGGTGCCTCGCCTCTCAGACAGATGCACTTTGACTTCAAAGGGAACAGATCAAACAAATGGACTCCTACAACGTGCTTGCTGTCAGGAAGAGGGGAGTTTGCTCTGTTTTTTACTCTATAATGGGCCCCCCGAACCCAAACGGGGAGAGCTGTGTACAACAAGGCGTTCTGAACCCGAGGATTTATGGTTAGTGTGAGTGCCATGGACTGTGCAGGTTGAGATTTTATGTTGTTGCCAGCAACACACACAAAATCCATCTTCTTAATGAAGATATAAATCTGCGTCTCCTGAATAAGAGCCTAAAGTTCCTGACCGCTCGGTCGGCCGTCCCTCAATGATTCATTTATGACACTCCCTGTGTGGGTTCTGAGGCCTCATTGGGGGGGGGGGGGGGAGGGGGGGGGGGGGGGGAGGGGGGACAGGATCACTGCCCCTCTAACAAGTATGTTGTAAAAGTCACCTAATAGAGAATGTTACCTTTGACACTAGAGTGTATCTGCCTGAGAGGCGACAAACCAACAGTCTGCATACAAATAAGCCAGATATGTAAAAGAAATGTGCAAGCAAAACTCCAGTTCTGCAACAAGACGAAAGTCCAGAAGTGGACGAACAACCAGAACTTTCCACTAGAGTTTACAGCCGGTGAATGCGAAGAAGAAGATATATGTCATCTACGTTCTTTCATCAACGTGAGAACAATATAGCTAGAAAATAATTAGTCCTTAAACAACCAATATAAACATAGAGATATGTCACAGACATATGTTTCCTGTGTGGGTTCCGGAGCTCCATTTTGTGTGTGTGTGGGTAAGAAAAAAAGAACACACCCACTGCTCTTAAACAGACATGTTGTAATAGGCAACTAATTAGCAGATTTGCTGACATCGGAAACCTTTGACCCAAAAGGTACAGATTTACCCAAGCCTAGCTGTAAAAAACAACAACTCAGCACGCCAACCGCCCTTTAAGAATTAACACAGAATAAGAAAAAGACATACATAAGTAACACTACAAGTGGGATAACTTACGTATAATTTGTGAAAGGGATGACATCTTTGTAAGCACTGGTAAGATTAAAATTGTGGGTGATGGTGCCATTTTCATGTCTATCCTTCATAAACACTTGGTAGTTCTGGCCCTCAAAGTCCTTGTGGGTAGTCACTAACCGGCCTTTTGACAGGAACTCATACACACCTGTAACAGATCAAGATAAAAGTTATATTCTGCACAAGCTCAAGGAAAGGTTCTGTTTAGTACAGTACAGTCTTGCACAAAGGTTCTGTTCAGTATGGTCTTACACAAAGGCTGTTCAGTATAGTCTTGCGCAAATATTCTGATCACTATAGTCTTGCAGAAAGATTCTGATCACTATAGTCTTGCAGAAAGATTATGATCACTATAGTCTTGCAGAAAGATTCTGATCACTATAGTCTTGCAGAAAGATTCTGATCACTATAGTCTTGCAGAAAGATTCTGATCACTATAGTCTTGCACAAAGATTCTGTTCAGTATAGTCTTGCACAAAGATTCTGATCACTATAGTCTTGCACAAAGATTCTGATCAGTATAGTCATGCACAAAGATTGTGTTTAGTATATTTCTGTACAAAGATTCTGTTCGGTAGAGTCTTGCACAAAGGTTCTGTTTAGTATAGTCTTGCACAAAGGTTCTGTTCAGTATAGTCTTGCACACAGGTTCTGTTCAGAATAGTCTTGCACACAGGTTTCTGTTTAGTATAGTCTTGCACATCGCTTCTCTCCCCTCGTCCCCCCCCCCCCCCCCCCAGTATATAGCTGTAAAATTCAAAGCAAAGTGACCTGTAGCTGGATTGAACCCAATATTTTGGAATTATAAAGCATAGTTGCAACACCTAAGCCATAGATGGAAAAAAAAGGCTTAAAATAATGACCTATCAGTTTGTTCTATTGATGTGATTTACATTAAGGGATTAGCTGTAACCATAAAAGACTGAACTCATCATCATCATGTGCCTTGCCGACTGGCGTGGGCGATCATGCCTTTCCATAATCTGCGACCTCCTGCAGCATGTATCAGTTTGCGTGCCGACACACCTCCATGCCATGCAACAAGACTGTCAAGCATCTTTTCTCGTTGTCTACCTCTATCCCTCCTTCCACAGATCTTTCCAGTGGTCACAACATGTTCTATTTTCCCTCTTCTCATAACATGGCCTAAAGATGATGATTGTCCCCTTCTGATGTCTGTGATAAGTTGTCTTCGGGCTCAACAGCTAAATAAAATACATGCATTGATCTTGAATTTCACTACAGATGAGTTAAACAGGAATATGATCAAAACTGACTAGGGAAAAAAGCAGCTAATCTATTAGCTTCAGGAGAAGTGTTTCTCCGGGACTGGAAAATTTCACTGATACAGTCACTCAATTCTAAGTTTCTAGATGAGACTACATTGATGCAGCCACTCAATGCTGACTCTCTAGATGAGACTACAATGATGCAGACACTCAATGCTGACTCTCTAGATGAGACTACAATGATGCAGCCACTCAATGCTGACTCTCTGAATAAGACTACAATGATGCAGCCACTCAATGCTGACTCTAAAGGTGAGACTACAATGATGCAGCCACTCAATGCTGACTCTCTGAATAAGACTACAATGATGCAGCCACTCAATGCTGACTCTATAGATGAGACTACAATGATGGAGCCACTCAATGCTGACTCTCTAGATGAGACTACAATGATGCAGCCACTCAATGCTGACTCTATAGATGAGACTACAATGATGCACAGCTACTGAATGTTGATACCAAGCCATGGCACAAGAAGTGTTGATGACCCTGCTGGCTTCTTTCCTTGGGAACTTTCTTTCCTAAAGTCTACAAATTATATGCTACTCTCCATACAAGGAGAACAGGAATAACAACATCATCTAGTGTTATAGGTTAGGTTCACAATGAGCCACAAATATCTATCTAAATCTTGAGCTGAGAAAAAAAGGGGAGTGGTGGGGGAAAGAAAAAAAAAAAAGGGGGGGGGGGGGTGGTTAGCAAAGAGGACAACATACCACCCAAAATCACACAAAAAAATATATCTTCACAGGGTTCAAAATTTAACATTCATTTCACAAACTGTATCTTCAAAATGTTAATTTGGACCGTAGTTACAACTTCAGATGTTGAAAATTCACAACATATCACAAACTATCTTCAAAAAGTTAAAAATCTGGACCACAGCTACAACTTGAGATATGAAAACTTCACAACACTTCACAAACCCATGCCAGTAATCACAGTTAAAGCCGAAAGAAAACAAAATAATTATAACAACCCACAATATCGATTACAGTACAAATTAAAACTACACCCCGAAAAGAAAAAGAAAAACATCCAGGGGAGATTAACAGAAATGATTATCTGCCACAACGGCAGACATATTCTCCAATTGCAACTCAGCAGGCTTTGTGTAACAGGATATGACCTGAATTCAGAAAAGGTCACATGTCTCAAATGCATCATGGGAATACCTTTCAAACAAGTCTCCTGTAACAAAGAACAGCCATGAAAGAAGGCTTAACTTGTAAAAGAAATTACAAGCGCAGAAATGAAACGAAGATTATATAAACTGCTTGTCTATTATATCTTCTAACTATGGTCCTAGGTTTAAATCTCTCTCAACCTTTTTCAGATGTATTTGGCCAAAGCTGAGCTGGTAGCCATGACACAGCTAGAAAAATGACGCAGCAAATCAAGCAGATCAAAACTCAGCACTTTCTGAAGCTTGAACCATCTGGACCCAGGACCCAATGGTGCACCCCAGGACCCAATGGTGCACCCCAGGACCCAATGGTGCACCCCAGGACCCAATGGTGCACCCCAGGACCCAATGGTGCACCCCAGGACCCAATGGTGCACACACCTACCACAAAACTGCCTTACACAGCACAGCAATTTTTTTTAATGAAAGTTCACCATTTTGTTTCCCATACAACTAGAAATTCTATAAGAATTCACTTTCTGTAACATGCTTTGTCCTTGTATGCAATTTTAATGACAATTATAACTGTTCTTTTTAATGGGAATGTAGTTGCCTTTCATACACACAAAAGAGATGTCAAACTTGATGTGAGCCCTATTTCATCTTTCTATCTTAATTATTCACTGGGTGGGGGAGGGGGGAGATAAGGGGCGCTACTTTATGATTTCTCCATGTCTGTCTATAGGCCCTCTGCGGGTTGCAGAGATCCCATTTTGGGGGGAAAAGAAAAGACCCACTGCCTCAACAACAAGCATGCTGAAAAGGATAATATGTGAAACCCCCCCCCCTCCCCCCCCCCCCCTCCAATCAGAGGGCATCTGCCTAAGACAAAGAAACCAACAGTTTGCATATCAAGTCAAGTTCTGCAACAAGACTGAAGTCCCAAACCACAAATGTTGGTCTGTGCACTATACAGAACAAACCACAAATGTTGGTCTGTGCACTATACAGAACAAACCACAAATGTTGGTCTGTGCACTATACAGAACAAACCACAAATGTTGGTCTGTGCACTATACAGAACAAACCACAAATGTTGGTCTGTGCACTATACAGAACAAACCACAAATGTTGGTCTGTGCACTATACAGAACAAACCACAAATGTTGGTCTGTGCACTATACAGAACAAACCACAAATGTTGGTCTGTGCACTATACAGAACAAACCACAAATGTTGGTCTGTGCACTATACAGAACAAACCACAAATGTTGGTCTGTGCACTATACAGAACAAACCACAAGTGTTGGGTCACACACAACAACAACACGGATGCAGCCACTTACCAGAATCTGGTAAAGAGTTAAAATCCCCACACAAGATCAGAGGTATACTGTTGCAGAGGTCGGCATCCAGCGAGGGCGGAGGGGCATTGGGCCGAAACTGCACGGAGGCTTCCTTGACATATTTCTGCAGTTCTTCAATGAGCATCATGGTCTGTACCAGTTTGACATCAGGGGACTGAGGGTCCCAGTGGATGTGAGCAGTAGACACCATCAGCATCTGTGTTAGGCACTTTGGTGGTGGAACCGGACCTGTGGAAATCAACCACAAAATGGGTTGAGTAACTTAGCATCATTATCATTAATTTTCTCTTCTGCTGTTTAGTGTCATGGGGAGAAACAGTCTGTGATCTATTGCTTGATTGGCAGCAATGTTGATTGTCCTTCTATGCCGATATAGAAACTCTTCAATGTCATCAATCCATTTTCTCATAGGGCAACATCTTGCTTTCACATCAGATCTTTTCATCTGTAGCACCTGCGTTGGTAGTGGTGGAATTCTTACCAGGTGACCAAACCATTTGATCTTCTGTTTTGCAATGAACTTGCGGTGTTGTCCCCACAGTCTGTTTGATAACATAATTTCTAACCTTGTCTCAGATGATTAAGTTGGCAGCTTTTCTCAGGCATCTTCACCTAAATACTTATCCATTCACCCTTACAAGGGCAAACTGGCATGCTGTGTTGTGGTCTACAGCTAGGCTGCAATATATGTGATGCATCCGAATTCTGAAAGCCCGTATTTGGTCGCCTTATACAACATGCTTGATGGAGGTAGTAAATCTATTACTCCACCTCTCCAAAAACTGGGGCTCCAGAATCAACCTGGGGTATTAAACCAATCAAAGTTTAAAGTCAAGACAATCAACTTCATTTCACCAGGCTTTATACTAAAAGGCTTGGCCTCTCTCTGCAGACCAGCTAGCTAGCTGCCAAAAGCTCCGCACAAAGCATGAACTCCACACCTCCAGGGATAACCCCCAGGGATTTTTGTAAAGATGGCATTCATGTGTCAAAAAGTACAGGGCATAAAATGAACCTATGACCTCACAGCATGAGGCCAGCAGCTTCATCGGCTGCAAACTCCAGCGGAAAGTTTTGGTTGTTCTGGACTCTATTTCTGTTCCAGAGCCTGAGTGGTGCATGCACATTCATTTCACAGATCTGACTCATCTGTATGCAGACTGTTGGTTTCCTGCCTCTCAGGCAGATGCACTCGGACTTCGAAGGAAGCTACCAATTATTTGACTCTAACGACATGCTTTTTGGGTAGGCTGTGGCTCAATTCTTGCTTTCCCCCCACACACGAAGCTAAGGAAACCCACACAGGGATCATAAAGCAAACACGATTATATCAGCTATATCCCAGAAATGCCACAATCAATTTAATTAAGTCTGTACTAATTGCTTCTCTGCAGGACTTTAAGCTGCCTCAGTTGTTATTATAATGCTGCCTTTGTTTCTATTTGTCCAAGTATCTTTAGCTTGTTCTGTAAAAGGTGCGTGTTGTTCTAAAGAAGAATGCTTCACATTTCTTACACACAAAAACAATCTCAATTTTTTTATTTTTCAAGCTTTACAATATTGGGCACCAAGTCCATCCTTATACTGTACTCGCCCCTTCCAAACACTCGTCTTTCATGAAATAAATGTATTTTATCTCCTTCCAAACACTCGTCTTTCATGAAATAAATGTATTTTATCTCCTTCCAAACATTCGTCTTTCATGAAATAAATCTATTTTATCTATAAAGTATATATTCCTATTCCTAATTTACATAAACTGTGTAAAAACACAAAGCCGTAGAGAGCTGTTCTTCTTCACGTTTTCAGGCTGTAAACTCCAGCGGGAAGGTCAGGTTGTTCGTCCCAGGCTGTAAACTCCAGCAGGAAGGTCAGGTTGTTCGTCCCAGGCTGTAAACTCCAGCGGGAAGGTCAGGTTGTTCGTCCCAGGCTGTAAACTCCAGCGGGAAGGTCAGGTTGTTCGTCCCAGGCTGTAAACTCCAGCGGGAAGGTCAGGTTGTTCGTCCCAGGCTGTAAACACCAGCGGGAAGGTCAGGTTGTTCGTCCCAGATTGTAAACTCCAGCGGGAAGGTCAGGTTGTTCGTCCCAGGCTGTAAACTCCAGCGGGAAGGTCAGGTTGTTCGTCCCAGGCTGTAAACTCCAGCGGGAAGGTCAGGTTGTTCGTCCATTTCTGGACTTTATTAAAAAGGTTTTTCCAAAACCTTAGTGTTGTGTGGACATCCGTTTTACAGATCTGATTCATTTGTATGCAGATTGTTAGTTCCTTGCCTCTCAGGCAGATACACTCCATCTTCAAAGAATGACCCTAATAAGTCGATACCATGACCTGCTTACTGGGGAGGCAGCGGGTCTAGTCTTGTTTCCCCCATAATGGGGTTCCAGAACCCACAGGAACATGTTCAACTAAATGAGTTATGTAAATATTCTGACAAAGATTAAGCACAAAGACAACATAAAACATCAGAAGAAGGCTGTTGTAATTTTATAGTCAGATTATGAGAGGTGACATGCCGGAGAAAGTAATCGAAACAACTACAGAGAATTCTGGAACCAGAGGTGCACAAAGATAATGATAGGAAGATTTCTGAGTGAGCATATGAATTTATTTATCTGTAAATAACATTCAGTGAAGATGGTAAAGTGGATAAAGAAATTAACATCTGATGCAGTAAAGCAAGTCAAGTATTGGGACAGTTAGCTAGTTAACCCCCCCCCCCCCCTCTTCCCCACTCCCCCCATTCTATGCTACCAGTTCCAGCATTGTTTCCCCCCCCCCCCCCCCAAACCACAACAACAAAACATAAAATAAAGTCACTAAATGGAAATGAGAAATCTGCAAGAGTGACCAGAAGAGATAACAATCAGCAATGAGGCCATAAGAGAAATATTTGGCATTGAACCAGCTGTCAATCACAAAGACAGCAAATCAAATGCTTTGTCCACTAAAAAGAATGTCTTGTGATGCCATACCATTCAAGGCATACACTAAAAAAAAGGAGGTCATAGAAGATGAGGTAGACCAAAAACAAGAGGGCAGAATTAACATCATAGAAATTCTACATTAATATATGGTGTCTGTCTAAAGTCAAGGAGGCCAGAAGAGCAAGAAGCAGAACATGATATCTCCATCAATACCTGATGTGCTAAATGAGGAAGTGAAGAAGAAGTGCATATATTTTCGACCTGTAAACATATTTATGACTCCCAACTAATTCCTTTTTTTAACCCCAGGAGGGATAACCAGTAATTCACATGACACATTATGCTCCTTTCAGGAACCAAAAAATCCTGACAGGAGACAACAAAAACGATGGAAATGGCAGAGAAGAATGCTAGCCATAATGAGACCATTGTCAGTGAACAATCCCTGACTGACTGACTGCCTGCCTCGCTGTTGACATTAATGAGCCCAGGCTGAGTTCTGTTAGCAAAGAGTTCTTGGTTGGCTGGCATCTCCCCCCTCACCTTCAAATCAAACTATGCTATCTTCCACTAAAGTTTACAGCCAGTGAGCACAAAGAAGAAGATACATCTCATCTATATTTTCCCATCAATGTCTGAATATCTCGGCCATTCTTTCTATTTTATATCATCTCTGTCTACCTATCTAAACAACGAATATTCAACCTACTTGTCTGACAATCGAGCAATCAATAGGCTATCCCTCCATCTCTTAATCCATCCAAAACACACCCCCACCCCCAGCCATTCATACATCCCCACCCACCAGAGCTGTCTTAACAGCATTACAGGCCCCTAGGAAAAAGAGTGTGATGAGGCCCCTGAGACAACCACCCCTGGCAATTCTCCCGTCTCTTGCATAAATCAATAATTAGCAGCTGTCAAAATGGCTACCAAAAAACATGCACCAGCTGTAGAGTCACATGTCTCATTTTAAACGGAACAACATTCATCAAATAAATTTACAGTTGCCCAAACACACTAAATTAGAACAGGGATAACACTGAAAAGTTAACCCAGCCAACTTAACGCCCGATGAAGCTGGATGTGTCAGCCGGAAGGCACAAATATCGCAGCTCTGCTGTAAATAGGCACAACACAATTACGTCACTACGCGAACAAATAGAAAAATGGTACAAATGTAGTATTCATAAAGAAACACTCCAGCAGAGAATAAAGAAGATTGTATCATTTTTCTAATAAACAGGGACATCTTCTATTGCTTGTCATCTCCCAGTGCCACAGAGGGCCTCAAGTGAATGATGGGATAGCTGAATCAAAGATGGGCCTGTGTGACCCTTGATATAAGAATATGTGTGTTGGTGATGGACTTAGAATCACATCATTCAATTTTCAAACACCAGATGCAAGGATTTGCGAACCTCATTAAAGAATGGAATAAGACTAAATTTAGAACTCGAATGCCCCCGTGTGGGTTTTGGGGTACCAATGTAAGGAAAACAAGAACACACCCACAGCCTCCCCAGAAAGCATGTCGTAAGAGTCAACTAACTGGGAGCTTCCTTCAAAGTTACAGTGCATCTGCCTGAGAGGCAGGAAACCAACAGTCTGCATACAATTATGTCAGATCTGTAAAACAGATATGCGTACAAAAACCAGATTCTGGACTAGAACTAAATTCCAGAGGTGGATGAACAACCAGAACCTTCTGCAAGAGTTTGTGAACAGTAAGAAGAAGAATTAAAATGAGACCGGAACAATGCATACATGTGTGAATCAATGGCAAAAGAAGCTTAAACTCTGCATCATATGTACTGGTATGTATATGTGTATGTGAGCAAGTGTGCATGAAAGAATGCAAGCATCTGTGAGAGTACATGCAGGTATGAATGCATTAGTCTTAATGCATAAACGATGGTATTTATTTATGCACCTCTCTCTCTCTCTCTGTGCGTGTGTGTGCGTGCGCGCGTGTGTGTGTGGGGGCGCATGTATGTATAACTATATGTTCATATGGTATGTCAACATATGCATATCTGTGTATATATCTAAATACATATATGGTATGTCAATATGCATCTGTCTGTGTATACAACTATATGTACATACAGCACATCAACATATACATCTGTCTGTGTACACAACTATATGCACTTACGGCACATCAACATATGTATCTGTCTGTGTACACAACTATATGCACATACAGCACATCAACATATGCATCTGTCTGTGTACACAACTATATGCATCTGTTTGTGCATATGCCACATAAATTACAGCTGTTGCTATGTTCTGGTTACCAATTCCTAAGCTCCTCCCATTTTCAGCTTTAGCCTACATATAAAACACGCCAAGGTGAAGAGGTCACATTAAACAGCACTTCTTGTCAGGTCAGGACAGGCCAAGCATGACACAAATAACCCAAAAGAAAACTGCACTTGAGAAATGGGCCTTATCTTTTAGGTGCTGTAGGAGTAGTAGACCCCTCTGTCAACTATCTGCCCTGGATAGAAGAGCATGGCCTCGCTGATTCCTGGGTCATGGTGTCACTATGATTGTTTCTTTTATATGCACACTGTAGCTGAACAAACAGATAGATACACACTGTAGCTGAACAAACAGATAGATACACACTGTAGCTGAACAAACAGATAGATACACACTGTAGCTGAACAAACAGATAGATACACACTGTAGCTGAACAAACAGATAGATACACACTGTAGCTGAACAAACAGATAGATACACACTGTAGCTGAACAAACAGATAGATACACACTGTAGCTGAACAAACAGATAGATACACACACGCTTTAACACAAGGATACATATATCAGAGCTACATGCACGTATACACAGACATACCCAAACACAGCAATTCACTTACATATAAAATGACACAACGACACCCACACAGACAAACCCAAACACAGCAATTCACTTACATATAAAATGACACAACCACACCTACACAGACAAACCCAAACACAGCAATTCACTTACATATAAAATGACACAACGACACCCACACAGACAAACCCAAACACAGCAATTCACTTACATATAAAATGACACAACGACACCCACACAGACAAACCCAAACACAGCAATTCACTTACATATAAAATGACACAACGACACCCACACAGACAAACCCAAACACAGCAATTCACTTACATATAAAATGACACAACGACACCCACACAGACAAACCCAAACACAGCAATTCACTTACATATAAAATGACACAACGACACCCACACAGACATACCCAAACACAGCAATTCACTTACATATAAAATGACACAACGACACCCACACAGACATACCCAAAACACAGCAATTCACTTACATATAAAATGACACAACCACACCTACACAGACATACCCAAACACAGCAATTCACTTACATATAAAATGACACAAACACACAGACATACCCAAACACAGCAATTCACTTACATATAAAATGAGACAATCACATCCACACAGATGACACAGCCAAAAACATCCAATTCTGCATGTTTACTATATATATATATACACACACACAAACCTAAACATACACAAAGCCATTATCATTACAGCGATTGCTGGGAAACTTTTGCCACTGAAATTCAAGCTCGCAATCTGTCAGTTTGAGAATAAGAAAGTGATAGCTGAACTGATTGCCAGCTTTACTGGATGCCATGCTAGTTACTTCTTTCTTGATGATATGTTGTTGTTGTTCTTGTCGCTGCCAAAAACGCTACTGCTGTTCCTGCTACTACTTTCTATTGTTTTCCCTGCTGCTGCCAATTCTCTTATATCTGCTACACAATACTAATACTACTAGACACACCACTACCCCTACAACTGTCATGTATACATACCACTATCCCTGTCTATATTTCTAACCCTACCACGACCCTTACAAGTGCTACCTCTACCAGTACCACTATCTCTGCTACAACACATACCACTACCAATACAACAACTGATTCTACATGCCACTACCCCTACAACAACTGATTCTACATGCCACTACCCCTACAACAACTGATTCTACACGCCACTACCCCTACAACAACTGATTCTACACGCCACTACCTCTACAACACACGCCACTACCTCTACAACAACTGATTCTACATGCCACTACCTCTACAACAACTGATTCTACATGCCACTACCCCTACAACAACTGATTCTACATGCCACTACCCCTACAACAACTGATTCTACACGCCACTACCCCTACAACAACTGATTCTACATGCCACTACCCCTACAACAACTGATTCTACATGCCACTACCCCTACAACTACTGATTCTACACGCCACTACCCCTACAACACACGCCACTACCCCTACAACACACGCCACTACCCCTACAACACACGCCACTACCCCTACAACACACGCCACTACCTCTACAACTGCTACTACCCATCCTAATATCTCTACTCTGTATACATTAATTAACCCACATTCAACAACAGGCCCACTTATACTAAATATACCAGGCATGACACCATTTATAACGGACCCACATGCCAGATACAACTGTACTACAAGAATTACATAATGAGTGGCCATTACAGGGAGATTACTCTCATTTTCTAGGCTGTGGAAGTCTATACAAGGACACACACACAGAGAAAGAAAAAAAACTGGCGACAGATACAATATGATGGATACAGAAAGGAGAGTTTACATAAAAAGAAAGATAGAGAAAACAAACATGCTGATAAGTGTCATTTTTTAATGGTTTTTGTGCACAAAGGGCGGGCTATAATGATGATGAATTAAGGATCCTGGTTGCTCATCTTGTATGGAGGAAACAGTTAAAGTTAAATATGACTGAATCAAAATAACTGCACTGTGCCTTATGGGAGGGGGGGGGGGGGGGGTGTGTGTGTGTGTGTGTGCACTGAAGTCAATTCTTCTAATTTTATTTTCACTATTATGTAAAAAGCAACTATGGAAATCTGGCAATAATCATGTGTTGTAGGGCTGCAGAAGTTGGTGGTTCTGCAAAATTTTGTATTTTTGACCCCTGCAGAGCGAACCTGTAACTCTGGTACCACATCCCATGTTTAAGTTGGCAGGTTTTAGAAATTGTGCGTCAATATTTTAAATGTCGGCAGTGTTAAACAAAATTTTTGTAGCGTTAAAAAAATAATAATGGTGATTAGGAGTATACTGAAAATAAGCGTGATGTAGTTGTTAATGCAAATGTAGTAGTATTCGACATGATAAGTCAGGTGTGTGTTTGTTTCAGTTTCAAATGCCGGTGTAGGAGTGTCCATCCAGACAACTGGCAGATGTTTCTTTGCCATGTCTTTTGTCACCGCTTAAAATTGCAGTTTATTCGATGGCCCAGCTTTTCTAATTCGGTTCTACAGCAAAGCATTTTGGAGACATTTTGCTTTTTATAACTGTTCCTGCCAACTGTGTAAACTGCTGTTTGGAGTTCAAGTGTCCAATATGAGCAAGCGTAAAATAATATGAAAATTTATAACAAACAGCGGGGAAAAAAAGACATGGTACAGCACTGAAGCCACTATATATTAAAGCATCACTCTGTCTGTCTGTGTGTGTGTGTCAGTATGTCAGTGTGTGCAAAAAGAAAACCAGACACGTTAGCAGGACTTTAAATGAACAATTTGTTATCCTTTAGTGTGTTTTGATACATCTCACACAAAAAATTTGGCACTATTTGCAAAAATATTTCAACAGCTCTGGTCTGATGTTCCCATCCTTTGTCCTCAAAGTATAAGTGTACTGTAAGTAGGTCAACTAAAAGGCCTCTTTCAAATCAATGGCCTATCTGGCATATGATGCTAGTTTTTTATAGACCAATCTCCATTTGAAAGGTGATGTGGGCAGCTTCAGGCTGGCTAAGTGTTCAGGAGTATTTGTGTCATTATTACAAGATGTTATACTGAAGACATTCAGGTCAAGACAATTCCTACATACTGGGTTGAATACCTGAATAGTACTTGTCTGAAGCAAGTTTAAAGAATGTAAATACAAAGAAAGAATATTCTTGAAGGATGGGAGAACAGACGGGGAAACAAAAACAACAAGATGCCAATGAGCCAGTGCTCTTTTATTACCAACATCCCCGTGTGGGTTCAGGGGCCCCACTGCTCCCTAACAAGCATGTCACAGAAGTCGACTGAGGCCTTCTCCCCAGTCAGAGTGCATATGCCCAGGCAGCAGGGAAGGATCCAACTGCGCAAAAATAAGCTAGTAAAATGGATGTCACTGTAAAACTCGGGCCTAGCAAAAAGGCATGGCCACAAATGGACGACCAATCAGGACTCCAAAGGAGTTTACAGCCGGTGAACAAAGAAAAAGAAGAATATACCAAATGAAGCTGTTATTAAGACATCTAAACAAACAAATAACCGCCAAGTTACAGATTATAAACAGCATTTTCATACCAACACTGTGATACGAGTGCCAAACATAGACATTATAAAGGCTAACCTACTTGAAACTAATACCTGTGAATATAATGCCAGAGGAGAGCCACCAACTTACAAATCTGAGAAAAATTGAGAAATACTACTATCAGATAGACTGTGGGAAAACACTATGTGCCAAGTTTATTGAGAAACAGAAGATCAATTGGTCTGGTCATCTGGTTAGAATGCAGTCAGAATAACTACGAACCTGGGCGCTGCACATGAAAAGATCTAATGTAGAAGCAAGAGGTCACCCAAGGAGTGACAACATTAGTGACCATCTACACTGACATGGAATGACACCAGCCATTGTTAGACATCAAGCAATGGATCGCAAACTGTTCCCAGGATGTTTAACAATGAAGTGGATGATCATGATGATGAAAAGATTACAATCTGCCACGAATCAAATCACCAAAAGCAAACTACACAAAGACCACATGACAAGCCCCTCAAGGTAATGATTAACCAAAACACACACAATCTAATCACCATTCTAACAAAAAACAAACATAATCCGACACAATGTGTCATGTACAACTACTTACTGTTATCATATGCCCCAGGTCGTGTCTTCAGGACAGCCACGACAGCGATGTTGTCCTTGGTGCTGACCCTGTTGATCATATCTGTGTCCGTGTTGGAGGCGCCTTCCTTGGTGGCCAGCTGGCTGAACTCTATGTGGTGCTCGTTGACCTTTTCAAATCTGCCACACAAGAAGACAAAATAGAACTAAGATCGCCGAATACAGCGGGCAATATATGGAAGAATACAACTAACAATATGATAGGGGACAACTAACTGGTTCCTAGGTCGCTAATTTGTTCAACAGAATAAAGTCTAGCACTAAATATCCAATACGTCCAAGGGTGGTTTCTTCTTATTCTCAAAGTCTATGCTGTGTGGCACTGTCTATACACAATCTTCTGATTCGTGTACTTTCAATCAACTCTGACACAGATGATTTCTCTTTCTCATCACAAGAAGGGTGGTTTACTTCTGTTAAAAAACAAGTCAATACGGTAGGGTACAACTAACAATACGGTAGGGTACAACTAACAATATGATGAAGTGCAATAACCATTATAATAGAGTAAAACAAACATGGTACAGTAGAACAAAGAAAATGGTAGGGTACAATTTGAAATGTAGTATAACATAACTAGCTGTATGACAGAGTTAGCAGCAGGTTACAAGTTTTGGGCTGGATTCATAGGAACAAGATGCTTCCCCATTTGGTTAAGCTTTTAAGTCAAATTTTACTGGAATTTCTTGGATCACACTGCATAGAGACAGAAATTAAAAAGAGAAACAGGGACACAGGAGAAAAGGATTACATGCAGGTTAAGAGCAGAGTGTCTGAGAAGACACATGTCAAGTACCTGTGATGGCAGTAATGGTTCTTCTTCTTCTTCTTCTTGTTCACCAGCTGTACACTCTGGCGGAAAGTTCTGGTTGCTCGTCCACTATTGAACTGCAGTCCTGCTCCAGAACCTGAGTGTTGCGTGTGCATCAGTTTTACAGATCTCATTCTCTTGAATACAGACTGTTGGTTCCTTGCCTCTCTGGCAGATGCACTCTGACTTCAAAGGAAGCTCCCCAATTAGTCGACTCTTACGACATGCTTTTGGGGAGGCAGTGGGTCTATTCTTGTTTTCCTCACAATGGGGCCCCGGAACCCACACGGGGGAGTAATGGTTCTGAAATCTCATGCACTTATTGTGGAAGATTCTTCCTAATGTGAGCTGGTCTCACTAGTCACACTTGCCACTGCTATGGGTGGTGATTCCAAAACCTCCCTGAAACACAACAGAACACCTATCGCCTTTACTTTCTAAGAATTTTCTTCATACCCATTTTAGGCTTGGTCTACTGGCAGCTCAGGTCAACTCAAACATTAGATGTTGATGGTTCCCCAGCCAGAGCAGCAGGTAGAAAGCTGCAGTGACAGCCTCCACCTCCATTCTCAAACTAGGTGTAATGATATTACATGACAGGCTTTCTTTCATTTTAAATGTTGTACGTGTTCAGAATGTTAACAACTTACTTGCTCTTTTTGAAGAAGATGGCACAGCCATCCACTGTCTTCTTTTCCTTGTCCGAGTTCATGGTTCTGACCCTGGATTTGGGCAGAAAGATGCCATCGTAGCCCAACTGTGCAAGCTCCGGGAAAAACATGTTGTAATACTGTTCCGTTTCAACCTCCTGCAAAATAACACAACTTTTACAATTACCTTGCTCAAAGTTAACAAGAGAACAAATTAGGACACAAATGTTTCGGCAGTCCTGTTTTATGGAGACTAAAGGAACATGTGGCGTGTCTAAAACTCCCATGGTATTCAAAGGGAATTAGTAAGTCTCAATGCACTGACTACCAGGTGTTAGTGGGGCCCATATGGAAAAGAAAGAATGGTGTGACTTTTTATGCACGTTGTTAGGGGCAAGTAAGAATTTTTGGTGTGCAACTGTCTTTATAACCCTATAGATAAACCGAATCTTCAGATCTGAACCAATGATGAAGAAAACTACAGAGAACCCAGTGGAAGTTAGTTGAGAGCCAATACTTCACTGGATGACGGTTTATTGTTGCCACCTTTTCATACAATTGTTGTACTGTCCGAGAGCTGACCATCCAGGAAGCAATGACAAACTGCTGAATGTAATATTTGCCTACAAAAACAGCAACAGCCAGCAAAAAAAAAATGATGTGAATGTTCTGCAACACCCTGTAAAGGATACGCAGCTAACAATTTGGAGGCATAAGACCCACAGCCCGTGGCGATGGTGAGTGAGACCAGCAAGACCTGCTCATGTTGAGAAAAGTCTTCCCCACTTAGAGCAGGGGATTTCAAGACCCATGTTGCCATCACATGCACTTAATGTGCTTCTTCTCAGACACTCGGATTTCAACCTTTTTTATAATCATGTTTTTTTTAAATTCCTATTCCCTTATGGATCCCCCCCCCCTTCCCTTATGCAGAATAATTCATGGCGTTTTGTTGCCACAAATCAAACTGAATAAATTGAACTTTATCATTCATGTCCCACTTGCACACATTCAATTCTGTGTATCATAGTAGAGGCTGACCTCCACATCTTCTACCTATCTGTAACTCACCACAGAGTATGTTCTTAGGCACTCTACCATCTTTCGTTCTCCAAGCACTTAGAGGAAGAAGGATTGGTATACATTACACTGTTTCTTATGCCTCAGACTGAGACAGATATTTATACTGGCCTAATGTCACCCATCAAAGGCCGGATGGACTAGAAAAAAATTATTCTAGCATCATCTGCCCAATGCGCAACAAGGATGCTTTGGTTTTGACTTACTTTACTTATATTGCTGTGTTGTCTCTCCGTGATGATTCTATGATGGTGCAGGCTGGAAGCCTTTTGTTTTCCAGCATGTATAACAGCTGACAACATCCAAAATGCTAAGTTACTGTATGCAGTCTTTTCCCTGTGTGGGTTCCAGTGTCATTTGGGGAGGGGGGAGGGGTAAATCCACTGTCTCGCAGTAAAAAGCATGCAGTAAAAGCGCCAAATTTGTGGTTTTGCTGAAATAATATTTTTTGGACTGAAAGGTGTAGATATCGCAGCCTATCTTCAAACCGCAACACAATGTACTGACTGCCCTTTTAAGGGGGAATGCAGAAGGTCTTTCATGCACATATAAAAAACGTAAAAGCAAAGTTGGAGTTATGCTTGTAATGGGGGGGGGGGGGTGTGTGTGTGTGTGTGTAATATGTATATTTTCCCTATGTATGAAAACTAAGTCAGCTCTGTGGCTAAGTCAATGCGAAAGCTTTGTAATGCCGGGATCGATCCTAGCTGCCGGTCCATGCGTCTTGCGTTGATTTCGACAGTGGTATCAAGAAAGCCGACTGTCCAGCAAGCAATTTGCAAACTACTGGACGTAAATTTGCCTAGAAAAACCACACAATAGCCAGGGGCTGTTGGGGTTGGTTCTGCAACATCCTGTAAAGGATACGCAACTAACCTTATAGAAATTTATAGAACACCGTGTATTATCAATGACAATATATACCACTTTGCAACCACTATAAATTAAAACTCAACTCATTCCCAGCGTCTCAATCAAGCAATCAACGGGAACTAACATCATCAACAAACATGATGCCAACAACATATGATCATGTCAAAGATGACATAAGCACACAAATTAACTCTGACGCCAAACCCTGACAAAATATTATCTCCAATAAATGGGATGATGGATGTTTTCTAGATAAACAACGAATTCCTATATTTAACACACAAATGTGAACTTTGAAGACAATAAATGGGGCTTCGTTAATTAAAGGCAACATGCCGGCAGATGACCGTGTCAATAGCCTGCCCAGGGGAAATAATGCCGTATGATTTCTCAAACATACGCTTAGCATCGTTGCCATGACGACAAGCCAGCTCCTAATGTGGCCAGTGGTTCTCAAGTTATACGCTGCGTCTGAATGGTGCTGCGATGGATGGCGGCAGGTAGTGCAGGCAGCCCGAAAATGATGGCAGTATGTGTATATTTATGTTTTTATATCTCTGGCTTGCTATCTGCATCAACTATTGCATCTTTATTTCCAAGTTTGGGGTAGAACAGATTTTATCCGACATTCTTCATCTTCTTCGCGTTCACCGGCTGTAAATTCCGGTGGAAAGTTCTGGTTTCTCGTCTACTTCAGACTGCAGTCCTGTTCCACAACCTGGGGGTTGCATGTGCAGCCGTTTGACAGATCTGTATGCAGACTGTTGGTTCCTTGCCTCTCAGGCAGATGCACTCCGACTTCGAAGGAAGCTCCCAATTAGTCGACTCTTACGACATGCTTTTGGGTAGGCAGTGGGTCTATTCTTGTTTTTCCCATAGCAGGGCCCCGGAACCGACACGAGGGAATATCCGACATTGACTGCAGGTAACTGCAACAGTGAATATCTCAGTAAACAGAGAACAAGTAACACTTGTTTCTTTCTATCTAGGCTACGTAGTAACAGATAAGGGAAGAGGCTAAAAAGAAATCAAAAAGAGAATAGGAATGGCTAAAACAGTCTTCAATAAGATGTGCAAGTTATTGACAGCTAGAGAGATAAACAACATACTAAAAGGTAATTCTATCTAGCCTTATATCAAATTACTGTTATGTGAATCAGAAACACTGAGGGGAAAAAAAATATGAGAACATTCATTAATTCGTGCCCCATATAGAATAGTAGGAATTAAATAATACGGGATACTCACAGCTGTGGGGCTTTGGGGAGAACTTAAATTCGAGTAGAGCAAGAGGTTAGGAAAATACTGTGGCGTTGGACAGAACACTTGGCACTTGGGTTTCGCGGCCCTATTGTGAGGAAAACAAGAACATGCCCGCTGGCCTCCCCAACAAGTATGTCATCAGGAGTCGACTAACTGGGGGCTTCCTTAGAAGTCAGTGTGCATCTGCCTGAGAGGCAAGGAACCAACAGTCTTGATACAAATACGCTGGATGTGAAAAACGGGTGTGCCTGCAACACTCGTTGAAATCGAAGGATAGAACCCGTGTTGAGAAAACGTGACAACAATGTAACTAAAGTGTCAATGCACTAAAATAAACAGGGTCAATTGAAGAAAGGCAGATCAAATGCACATGGGAAAGGCAGCTAGAGAGCAAAGTTAACAAGATGGAGAAGATTAATGGTAAGCTGCATGCAAAAGCCGGAGTTAGGCTGACTTGATGTGAGTGGTCTATGCTTCACCAGATGTACATCACAGGATCACCCGCATAGCTTCATTCTGTATGCGCTCTAGTTTCTCTAGTTGACTCTTCGAGACAGTGAGATAACCCCAATCCATAATCAAACACTGAAATGATTAAGTGGTGGTAAAGTATGAACAGCATTCTCTGCTACATGTCCATCGCTGCCATAAACTTTAGTGCAATAAAATTAATAATAATAATAATAATTAGAAGAAGAAGAAGAAGAGGAGGAAGCGATTTTTGTAAGAAATCGGAACACGATTTCTCAGAAACTGCCCGAGAGACAGGATAGATTGGGAACCGCTGAAGTAAGGTGAATAGTCTCTGCACAATACGTTTCTAATTTTGCGCTGGGTGAAACCCGAGTAAACAGTAAACAATGTTTACGAAGAGAGCTTTAACAAATTAATATGGATCCAGATTTCAGAAAGTGGGCGCTGCTGATGGACAGACAGACAGAGCACAAGATAAGAATACTTGCTAAGAGTATGACTAGAATATACAATTTTTACAAAGTAATTTTTAAAGAACATGTATTGTAGGGTTGACTCAAAAGGCCCCCTCCCTCCCCAATAAAAAATACTGATCAAGAAGGAGCAGAGATTTAAAAAAGCGAGCAATTAAACACTGTACCAACACAAGAAAATACTGATAATGAAGAAACCAACTCGCATTAGACCCAACAAAATACTGATAATCAGTAGACCCAACAAAATACTGATAAAGAAGAAACCAACCTGCAATCGACCCGACAAAATACTGATAATGAAGAAACCAACCTGCAATCGACCCAACAAAATATTGATAATGAAGAAACCAACCTGCAATCGGCCCAACAAAATACTGATAATGAAGAAACCGACCTGCGATTAACCCAACAAAATACTGATAATGAAGAAACCAACCTGCAATCGACCCAACAAAATATTGATAACCAAGCAACAAACTCTCAGTCGACCAAACAGAATACTGATAATCAAGCAACCAACACGCAATCGACCCAACAAAATACTGATAATGAAGAAGCTTGCGTTATGGTGACATAATTTTGTTTTTGTTTTTTGTTTTGTTTTTCAGAGTCTGCGGCTTTCGGGTTGAAAACACAGGTTAATAATGCTGACATACCAGAATTCAGGAAAACAAAACAGCTGGAGGAGGTTTAGTAGTTGGTAGCTGTGTGTTGATCTGAACAACGTTTCGTTGAGCGAAAAAGTGTAAACTAAAGGACCCCAAACAGCTAATACAAGCGGGCGACGTCTTGAAGGGACACAGACTACCATTTATTGACTGTTTACTTAGCGACGGATTACAACTGCTCATGTTTAGACACGAACAGATAATACCGCATGTTTAATGAGAACATGATTAATATGTAAGGAACAGAAATGAAAATTGATAAATGTGTTAACAGGTCTGAATTTTACGAGCTCAAACTGCTTATAACAGGATGAAAAAAAAAACGAAACTGGGACAGGTGAGGGAGGGAGAGAGCGACAGATACACACACACATATATATATATTCTTCTTCGCGTTCACCAGCTGTACACTCTGGCGGAAAGTTCTGGTTGCCCGTCGACTACTGAACTGCAGTCCTGCTCCAGAACCTGAGTGTTGCGTGTGCATTAGTTTTACAGATCTCATTCTCTTGAATACAGACTGTTGGTTCCTTGCATCTCCGGCAGATGCACTCCGACTTCAAAGGAAGCTCCCTAATTAGTCGACTCTTACGACATGCTTTTGGGGAGGCAGTGGGTCTATTCTTGTTTTCCCCACAATAGGACCCCGGAACCCACACGGGTATATATATATATGACGGTGTTATTCTCAATCCATTCTTAGAGGGCGAAACTCTCACTGGATATATATATATATATATATATATATATATATATATATATATATATATATATATATATATATATATATATATATATATGTATATATATATATATATATATATATATATATATATATATATATATAGGCAGAGAGAGAGAGAGAGAGAGAGAGAGAGAGAGAGAGAGAGAGAGAGAGAGATAGCATATATAGAGAGCTGGCATTACGCCGGCCGTCTTTACTTCCCCAGGACATACGTCCTGGTACCCCTTTTAGGCTGGGTCGACGTCCCATGCCACGATTAAAACCCACGCAGCCAGCAGTGGGTTTCGATCGTGGTACGTTGGAACTATGAGTCGGACAACGCCTAAGCCACGGACGCCGTACTAAACTCTAACGCCCCTCTAAACTCTATCGTCCCTCTACATCAGGGGTTCTCAAGTTGCCGGTCGCGACCTTTTTTTGTGTGTGTGGGTCGAACGACAGTTTTATAGGGGTCGCCTAAGACCATCGGAAAACACACATTCATTGAAGTTATAAAGCCCCCCCCCCCCCCCCCAACGGCTGGGGGTCGACACAACATGAGGGAACTTAGTAAAGGGTCGCGACATTAGGAAGGTTGACAGCCACTGTTCTACATTCTACCGCCCCTCTACACTCTAAGGTAAAAAGAGATGTGGCGAAAACCCATAAATCTGTTGTCTAGAACTTGGTAAGCCAAACAGACAGTGGCAATGGAAGGCCAAGGCGAAACACACAATAAACTCATCCTCTGAATTTCTTCTCCTCATCTCCAAAGCAACATATAAAAAAGAAAAACTGACCGACTTCACGAGGATACATGAAACAGATGGCCCTGTCTGGCAGTCGACAACCACAACCAATTAGTTAATGAATCCAAACGCACCAGATACACAACTGATCCAAATTATGGCTGCTTTCAATGCATCTCGTCGATTGGTCGATAGGATCACTGTATTCTAAATCTTGAACCATTAGGTCGTAAGGCGATGTTTTACCAGGCAGATTTTTTTTGTGTGTGGGGGAAAAAACAAGTGGGGCGTTGGGGCAGCAGTAACATATAACGATGTCACACATACCTACGGCGAGACACAATGTTACACAGTTAAAAATATAGACAGACAGACAGACAGACAGACAGACAGACAGACAGACAGACAGACAGACAGACAGACAGACAGACAGACAGACAGACAGACAGACAGACAGACAGACAGACAGACAAAACGAACGAACAAACTTTATTTTTAAAGGGCTGAGAATTGGGCAAGCAGACTCGTCTAACATTCTGCCTAGATAGATAGATATTTAGACAGACTGACAGAGAGAGAGAGAGAGAGAGAGAGAGAGAGAGAGAGAGAGAGAGAGAGAGAGAGAGAGAGAAAAGAGAAGAGAGAGAGAAGAGAAGAGAAGAGAAGAGAGAGCAGAGAGAGAGAGAGAGAGAGAGAGAGAGAGAGAGAGAGAGAGAGAGAGAGAGAGAGAGAGTGAGAGAGAGAGAGAGAGAAGAGAAGAGAGAGAAGAGAAGAGAGAAAGTACCATTCAGAACAAAGGAATAGCACGGTGGCAGAATGTCAGACATACACACGCGGGCAGAGAGAGAGAGAGAGAGAGAGAGAGAGAGAGAGAGAGAGAGAGAGAGAGAGAGAGAGAGAGAGAGAAAGAGAGAGAGAAAGAGAGACGCGAGTGAAACAAAGAAAACCAGATGATGATCCAGACGCACGCAAGCCCAAACACGAAGGAACAACAATAGAACCATGGCCAGATACACAAACACACAGACAAACTAACTGCCGACGACGACAACGACGACGGCCAGCAACACCACCAACCTGCAATGTAATGATGTCAGCGTTGCCGCGGAGGATGTCGCTCATGATGCCTTTCTTGCGGTAGTCCCAGCTGAGCGCCCAGGTGGGGCAGTAAGCGTACATGGCCTTGGTGCAGAGTTTGTCACACAGCACGTTGTAACACATCACCGTGAACACGGCTGTATAGACAGGGGTGCCGGTGGTGGGGGGGGGGGGGGGGAGAAGAAAGGAATCAATCAATGTTAAATAAATTAGGTAAGTAAATGATTCTTGTCCATGCTATTAGGCGTACTGGGCATAGAACTTCGTCTTATTATTCTTCAGCACACCGAGCCTTTGAAGATCATTGCTGCAGATATCGCCCGCCTCCAAGAATCTCGTTGGTTGGCAGTTGGTGACACCAAGTGTTTGCAGGTCAGTCTGGACATTATCTCTCCACCGCCTTCTTGGTCTACGACCATTCAGTTGCCTTGTGTGTACAGTTTTTAACCTCTCTGTCATCTGACATCCTACCCATATGCTCCAACCCATTACCGTCTATTAGCTCTCATGATGCCAGTAACCAATGGTGATTTAAACAGATTATGAATGTCGTTGTTGCTTCTCACCCTCCATATCCCGCTGTTAACATCTCTGGTGGGTCTAAAGAATCGACTAGCGCAATAGTCTGAACACTCTTTAAGAGCCAACAGCAGCAGGAGGAATAAAATTTGACAGCCAAATTTCTTTTCATGAACTTGTCATGAACAATGTTTTACAGTGTCAAAACCGATTTGTGGCCGACTGGCCGAGCCACACTCATGGCGATAAAGAGCCGCATGCGATCTGCCAACCACTGGTCTAGCCACACTCATATTCAGAAGAAGAAGCCTCGATTTCAGATTGGACATATAGCGCTACAACTATATTTTCAGCCACACATCATATGCGATACTAAGAGCCGCATGCGATATTGCCTCCTAACCACTGTCTAGCGTGCAGCGGGTCTATTCTTTGAGAAAGAAGCCTCGATTTCAGATTGGACATATAGCGCTACAAATATATTTTCAGATTGGACATATAGCGCTTTACAATACAATGAGAACCAGTAATATTTTCAGATTGGACTATATAGCGCTAGCCAAATATATTAAGTCTAGCCAGCCAGGTTGTCTTAAGTCTAGCAGCCAGGTTGTCTTAAGTCTAGCCAGCCAGGTTGTCTTAAGTCTACCAATATATTTTCAGATTGGCCAACATATAGTCTAGCCTAGCCAAATATATTTTCAGATTGGACATATAAGCTAGCCAAGCCAGGTTAATTTTCAGCCAGGTTGGACTTAATATCCAGCCAGGTTGTCTTAAGTATATTTTCAGGTTGTCTTACATATAGCGCTACCAGGTATCTTTTTCAGCCAGCCAGGGACTTAAGTATAGCGCCACAAATAAGTCTTTCAGAGGTTGGACTTAGGGCTAGCAAGCCAGGTTATTCTAGCGAGCCAGGTTGACATAGTCTTGCTACAAATATATTAAGTTAGCCAGCCCGGGATTGGACATATCAGTTGAAAAACAAGGAATAGTCACCTGTAAGTTACCATGCATGTCGTATGTGGCGACACAGAGGGTTGGCGTGTTGCAGGCTAACATCCTCTTACAGTCAGACAACTTTAGTCCAACCAACACAAGGAAGTCAACAAAGGACAATCGGAACAAAGGGGCAATATCACGAGGAGAGGAGAGAGAGAGAGAGAGAGAGAGAGAGAGAGTGGGGAGACACGGAGAGAGAGATGAGACACAGAAGAAGGGGAGAAAACCAGAGAGGGAGAATGAAAGAGGGGTAAGAGATGGTATATTTGCGAGAAGGGTGGAAAGGAAGTCAACAAAGGAGTTTCGGAAAGAAGGGACTGAGGCAGAGAGAGGGAGAGGGAGAGAGAGAGAGAGAGAGAGAGAGAGAGAGAGAGAGAGAGAGAGAGAGAGAAAGAAAGACAGGGAGAATTGGAGGAAGGGAGGTAGAGAAAGACAAAGGAATGGGATGGAGGAAGGGCGGGAGAAAGAGGGAAGGTAGAGAGGTGAAGGAGGGAGAAAAAGGGTGGAGAATAACACTGAAAATTCTTGCAATATTTGCAGCCGCGAACTGTGTGACCCAAGTCCTATCTATACTCACCTGTACATCTATATTAGGACATCAACAGACCTGTCTATATTGACTACAGTTAATTACTGTGTGCAAGTTGGTCTTGCATTCCGCGTGCAAACACCAAAGTCCCGGGGTCGCTCCCCGCCTGTCGCCGGGGCTAATGGATTCCCTTAATTGGGTTAGAGGGTTTCCCAGCAGGGCGGGTGCTGGCTGGGTTTAATTATGCAAACAAACAGACTAGGAAAGGATCCAGCACACGGCAGACGTTGAGTATGACTGCGGGGAATTGGGTGGGGAGTGGGGGTTACAATGAGAGAGAGAGAGAGAGAGAGAGAGAGAGAGAGTTAAAGATTGATATTATAATAGAGGAAAGTGGGTAAGAGAGAAAAGAAAGAAAGTAGTGTGCAAGCGAGAGAGAGAGAGAGACAGAGAGAGAGAGAGAGATAGAGGAAGAGAGAGATAGTTAAAGATTGATATTATAATAGAGGAAAGTGGGTAAGAGAGAAAAGGAAGAAAGTAGTGTGTGAGCGAGAGAGACAGAGAGAGAGAGAGAGAGAGAGAGATAGAGGAAAAGAGAGATAGTTAAAGATTGATATTATAATAGAGGAAAGTGGGTAAGGGAGAAAAGGAAGAAAGTAGTGTGTGAGAGAGAGAGAGAAAGAGAGAGAGAGAGAGAGAGAGGAAGAGAGAGATAGTTAAA